TTGAACAAGACACAAACCCCCTTTTCCCCGTAGACTCCTCCACCCAGTCCTCCGTCGGGAACATTATAGTAGTATAATTTTATTCCCGTGGATTAATTCCTCCGCTAGCCAGGCCACGTAAAATGCACTTCCAAGTACTCCGCGTCCTCCGCAAGATGGTCTAGCCAAGTGCGACGAAACTTTAGTCCTGGTGATGTAACCCTAAACCCTAACCCTTAACCTATAGGGTATTACTGTTTGGGGTTCGGGAGTTTCGGGGCTTGGGATGGGATATTGATATAGGGGCTTGACTAAAGTTATACTACACGCTCCGAGCCCTGCTCTAATTATGGAGGCCCCTAGATTGAGGTGTCGAGGTCCGCAGAGACTCCAAGCCTTCTTGATTTAAGAACATACCCGAAGTCAGAATGTCATATGGGCCTCCCTGCAGCTTGAGGCCTTGATTTCCTTGGTTAGGAGGTGTTGGGGTGTGTGGATCTATGAGGTTCAAGGGTTTAGGGTCTTTCTGTTTTCCTGGTTATGGCTTGATTCGAGTTTTGAACTACACAACAGGGGTTGAGGGTCCGGGATTTGGATGCACGGTGTGGGGCTCAGTGCTGTAGGCTGCCGGGAGCTTACTTTTTTGTTAATGGCCTCTCAGGCTCACAGGTCGAGGGCTTGTGAGGTTTAAACCCATCAAAGTTCGTCTGATCCTTCTGAAACAAGTATAGTGGAGACACTAAATACAAGCATCTTAAGTCATGGGATACACCTTATTTCGCGACCGCGACAAGTGCAAGTGCTTGGCGAGGCCGCGGCGTGGTGGGATGACAGCCTCGAGGACTTCGCGCCAGGTTAAGAAGGGAGATGTTGTAGTTGCAAGCATGGAGGTGTGCCGCCACAAGGGAAACCATAAGATTACCATGATTATGACCTTCTCAATATATGACCACTGTCATCATCATGGTTGCTGTTATGACGAACTTGGGTTGAGTTGTTGAAACCTTCAGGGAATATTCCCTCCAGCCAGGAGCATGTCGTCCAGAAGATCATTCAGGCTCAGCGTGGCTGAGACCGTCGGAAACATGTAAGGCTTAGATCATGACCGAGCGTCGTGCGTGTTTTTGTTGATGGAAATTGGAGGCTTTACCTAGCAAACTCCGTAGTTACCGGGGATGGAGGTTCTTAACATAGTCCGCCTCCGGGCGTGGCTTTCCGAGCCTTTTGGGACGGGTAATCACGAAATTCATGCTTTCAATGGTGTTTTTGAGATTCTGCTTGTACTTCGGGCTGCGTGGGCCAGAATTCTACGGTGACCATCGTCAACTCCCACGGCCTTCAACAGGAAACTTTGGCTTTGCAGCCTGGAGTCCTCGAGCTGTTCCCAAGACCCTGACCTGAAACCGTCTCCAAAGCCTAAAATGCCCAAGCCTTCGAAACCCGACAGCCAAGCCCGACGCCTTGAACCTCAAAACCTGGAAACGAGCCCTCAACAAAAGTACACCCGAAACCCCAAAACCCTGAACCCCAAGCTTTAAGCCCCTGAGCCCCAAACCTCTATGGGAGTTTCCGAAAATAGGGGACCCCAATATAGTATCCTAAATAATAGGATCCTTAATATAAGGACCCCAAACTAGGGTACCCCTAATTTTCGGAAACTCCCATATGGGAAAGCAGGATCTGCCTTCCGACGCCGCTGCGCGGCGGCGGCGGAAGCCCGAGCCGGAGGCGGTGTTTACAGAGGCTCTCCAGGAGCCTCAGGCGGGAAGCTAAGAAATTAAACCAGTGCTAGAGAGAAAATGTGTGTGTAAGTGTGCATATACATACATATATATATATATACATACATATTATACATACATGCATGAGTATCAATGTATGTCTTTAGATCATGTAATAAAACTCTATAGTATATGTGTATGTATGTGTGCATGCGTGTATGTGTATATGTATGTAAAGGGAAATGGCGTGGTGGAGGACTGCTGTAAAGCAAGAGGTTTGGAACCGGCTCTTCAAGTCATTCTTGGGGTTTCGGAAAGATACGCTTTGGGTTGCAGGATTTGTCCAGGAATAGGAAGGGGTTTAATAGGATGTAGGTGTTTGAAGGATTAGGAAGCGATAGAAGTTGTGGGTATTTTTACGGCTGTTCAGGGTTTGAGACTATACCTATAGTCTCCATTGTAGTTCCTTTTTGGGGATACCTTATAGAATCCTTAATATATAATTCTTTAAACCAAAAAAAGGAACTACAATGGAGACTACAGGTAATCACTGTTGTGAGAGAGCTCAGGAGTGGAAGGCCAGGTCTTCACTGGGATGCGTGGAACGTACGCAAGGTTTCTTCCTGCACGGCCTGTCTGTCCCTAACCCCCCAGGTACCTACTATGTAGGGTACTAGAGCCCCTGGGGCCTTTTGGTAGGTACCTGGGGGGTTAGGGTGTGGTACTGACTAGCAATATGAAGGAATATTTAGCAGTGAATACCATGCCATGACTCAGTACTGCTTGAGGCTTGCTGCTGCTTCTGACGTGCGGACGCGCATTCTTCACATTCAGCTTGATAGCCCGCAAATATGCCGAAGATTGCCGCATGCGCGGCATGCAGCCTTTTCAGTTCTAACCAGCCGTTTTGGAGTCAAACAAGTCAGGTGGACGGTGGACATGGGCCCGCTGTCAGGTTCTAATTCCTTTTCCACAGACTTGGAACGAGCACACTTGCAAAATCGCTCACCAGCATTGCCCCTAAACCCTAAACCCTAAACCCTAAACCCTGAACCCTTGTCCTCTGATGATTTCGGTCCCCCTCTCAGGCAGTTCCTGCCGTGGCGTCGGAGCTTTCTGCCAAGTTCCAGGCCTAGCGACTTGAGAGCCGGTTAATTTTTTGTGCAACAGACAATCAGGGTTTAGGGTTTAGGGTTTAGGGGTTTAGGGTTTAGGGTTTAGGGTTTAGGGGCAAGCAAGACTGAACAATAAGCAAGCCCAGACCGCCGGATCATCACGACAGGAACGTCCATGAAGCGAGACATGACATGAGGGGGGCGGGAGGGCAGGAGGCAGTCGCCTACCATTCTTCTTCCAACGACGTGTTTTCGGACAAAAACAAACAAACATCGGACTTCAAAGTATCGGTTGGAAGAGCAACAGTCGTGTTTCGACAATTCGAAAAGAACATGTCCGCAACAATAGAAGGAACATCAAAGTTTCGGAACAAACAAAACTGTAAACCCAGATACATGTTTCCAAGAACTCCAATGTGATTTGGTGCAGAAGCATGCAGAACTGTCCGATTTGCAAGAACTCCAACCCACACCTACAAATATGCACTTAGCCGGTAGCTGACGTAGGGATAGTTCGGGAATCGTCGAAAGTCCCAAGCTTCAAATGTTGGAGCCGCATTTTAGTGCTCCGGCCAGCAGCAAGGGTCGAACCATTCATGGTTTTGGGACCTGGTCAAAGGAGTTTCGAGTAGAACGCGCTGCAGTATTATATTCTGGGCTTGCCTTTCAAATTTGCGACTCCACGCTCCTGATTTAGCATACCTTTTGTTTGACGCTCGCCATCGTTCTATCATCACTCAGTTCGAAGGAGCGCGAGATTATGCGAATATGCTAGCTCATGTGCTTGGAGGTGGAAACATTAAGATCTCGCCACCTGAAAATTAAGTGTGATCGTTGCTGCCGCCTTTAACAATCGTGACACTCGGGCATTTCTGGTTTCCTCCTGGTTTCCGCTGCCCCAACACCAAAGCCAACGGAACTCGAAGAGGACAAGCTGTAAAGCCCTGACGCCCCTACACCTCACTTCCCAAAGCTTTCAAGGCCCGGAGCTTCGACGAGCCCTAAATCCCTGAAGCACAATAAGCATGGTCTAAACCCAGAATACTCATGGTGCCAAAGCTGACTTCACCTGACACACACCTGCTGGCATGGCGGGTACCGTTGCCATATCATCGCAGTAGCAAGTAGTGCTTCAATTCTTGTTGCTACTCTAGGTTTTCCGACGTAGGAGGGTTTCGGGCTCAGCGCAGAGAGGCTGCAAGTTCTTCGAGTGGGAAGTAGGTTGGCCGTGCTTCAGGTACATGAGCAGTATTGCCCGGTATGGGCCCTCTAGCAACAAGCTTTATTCCAAGCCAGTTTCCAACACATAAAAGATCTGGCAACGGCATTGATTCCACTACGTAGCAGCGGTGGCAAGCAACATTCCAAGTTGTCTTCTTCACTGCATCTCGAACCGCAAGTTGGTAGGGATTTCAAGGCCAGATCTTCGAGTCTTGGTCGTCCCTCCAGTCCAATCAAATCCACCCAAAAACCAAGCCTAGACCTTGACCCCCTTTCAGAAAAAGTCTAAGCCCTTAATCCCAGAGTGCAATGCAAGCGTCTTTTTTCGAGTTGCAGTAGTATCTACCCCGAAACCCTGTTGTGATTATTAAGGGCCCTCCCTTTCTGATAGCAAGCCTGTGAGTATCCCTGGTATGACTACTGGTATCCTGGAAGGGAGCCATCAAGGTATTTTCGGTTTAGGGTTTAGGGTTTATGTTGAAACCTGCAAGAACCGGATTGGGAACCGTATGACAAAAGCTTATAACTCCTTGAAGCATCTCTATCCTACTTGTGAAGACCGCTGAGGTAGCAAACCCGTATAGAACCTCACTCGTGTAGAAATCCCTTTTAAAGAAGCCCTATTCTGATCATGAACGCCCTTTTTCTTCCCCTAAACCCTAAACCCGAAACCCCAAACTCTCAACCCTAAACC